GGGGGGGGGGGGGGCTCAGCCGTGCAAAAAGCATTAATTAATAATAGTAACGAAGAAATAATGCTCGGCCGTTCATGAAGTCCGTCTCGATCTGGAGGAGACGGGTCAACCCCGTGAGGACCAGATCAGGTTCACATTGTCGTAGCCGGAGGTGATGTTGACCTTTCGCGTACCCTCACCCATAGAATTGTCACCGCCAGTGAGTGCGAGATAGGGCTGGCCGCTGGCGGCTAGCCCCTGAGGAGAGTGACCAGAGACACCTCACATGACCCCACACACGGTCTAGTCCGGCCTCGCGGTCGGCGGAGATTGCTAGAGGACGAGCAAGCCTGCTCTAGCCTCGCACGTTGCTTCCTGTCGTCTGTTGTTTGTTGTGCCCTTGTTTGTTTCTCTTGGCACCCTGGAGTGCTGGGGGGGGCGACAGGAAGAATGTGGCCCTGAGTTATGTGTACGCCAACTCAGGGTGTGTGGCAGCCAGCTGGCTGTGTGTCTTGTGAGCTTGTTTGTGTCTGTGTGTCGTTCGTGCGTGTCGTCATCATCTGTCTCGCGTCCACCCATACCGCGTTGGTGTCCAGTCCGAGCCTGGCTGTTCTTCACCTTTCTACCTACCTACCTACCGCGAGTGCTCCGCAGCAGCCTCGCTGGGCCAGAACATCGGCCCGCGAGGTGGATGCTAGCATGAGCCCGATCCGTCGCATTGCTCTTGCGTTTCGGCGGTAGTGATCTGATCACCCGAATACCACGTTCGGATCGCTCCTCGCGCATATCGCAAAGGCTAGTTCCAATTCACTCTGACACGCTAATCTTGAAAACGCGTCCAACGGAGCTCCGTGTTGCTCCCAGCGGAATCCCCTGCCACACACACACACACACACACACACACGCTTCCTGCGGCCATGGCCGATGATACTAGTATGAGAGGTCATCTGGCTACCGCGAGCGCGACTCAACTCGCCGACGTTAATAAAATGAACTCGGGGGCACGGGACGCGCCACAAACGGGGCACAAACGCCAGGCTACAATCTCGCCGACGTCGTCCGATGATTGTGCCTCAAAGTCAGCCTCCGGAGGCTACTCGAGTATCGTGGGGTCAAGCCGGCGGTAGCCGTGACATGTGGTTCCACCACCCCTCGCAGGCTTTGCCTCTGACCGCCACCGTTCCCAGGCTGCCTAATGGGATGGAAAGGAAGGCTGGGCGAGCGTATAGAAGCGTGCTCGACCTCGTCGTGGCAACCTGCACACAGGAACACAACCCCAGACCCAAGACGCACAAGCACAGACAGTCGAGAAAGGAGAGACAGCAACGACAGTCAGAAGCCAGCGCTGGGTACCAGGAAGGCGAATGCGATGACGGCCTCTAGTGTGAGCATAGGATTCCTCGTACAAATTCCCACAAAAACACAACGCCCGCCCATTGACGCACAATTCACACACCACAAGCAAACGCCGTCCCAATTGTCATAGAGCGCCCCGCGAGCACAGTGGTGCGCCACCCTGCCGCCTGTCTCGCCACCACTCCCCGCAGACCCCCTGCTCACCTCGCCGCCCGCGTGCGTGCAGGGCTCGGGCGAAGCCGCTCGCACGGACGCGGGCAGTAGCCGCGGCGGCGTGCGCGCACTTCGTTAGCTTTGCGATGGCGTCGCACGAGCCGCTCGATCTCCCAGGCTTCTTCTCACACGGACGCGGCGGAGCTTCTGCGGCGCTGCACGACGAGCCGCTCGAGCAGCCGGAGCAACAGGCTGGGCAGGCAAGCACCGTGCCGCCGTTCCCCGTTCCCCGCGCCTCTCGCCTCTCTCCTGCGCCGCCGCACTAGAGAAGCCACGCTCGTCCGAGAATCGCCCATTTGATGGGAGGGGCGGGCCGCCGTCCCGACTCGCCACCGCCTCGCTGCCGGAGCATGCCCCCCCCCCTTCCCTTTCCGAGACCTCGCAGGGAAAGGCGCTTCAGACACACCGCGGGGGAACGGGCATCGCGTCTTCTGGAGGGAGAGAGAAGC